ACGGCTGAAAGGGCGAACATGTTTGGTGTGAGAGGGATTCGAACCCGCGACCCTCAGATTGCGAGTCGAGTGCCTTAACCACCTGGCCATGCTTATATTGTTACACAATCCTATATAGCACGTTTCAATCAGTCCTCTTATATTTTGTTGTTGTAGTTTGAATTCTATTTTGGTTGCTGTAACTTAACCTATGACGCACAAAGCTCCTCAAAACGTAGGGTTTAAATAAAAACATGTTTTTACTGAGATTATTTATTGTCTTTTTCAAATACGGTTTCAGTCCTTCAACCACCAGAGAAAACTTTAAAAACTGATAAGAAAAAGCTAATCGTTTGTCGGAAGTTGTTTTTTTTTTAAAGATTCAAGTTCAGAGAAATGTTGCAACTTGGAAAGAATTTTTCTAGCAAATTGTCATTGAGTTCGAATCGTGGAAAACTGCTAGTAGTCTTAGAATATAATATTCTATAAACTTATATGGTTTGTTTGTTGTACGTTATATGTTTAAAGCTACAGAAGTTTAGTTGTTTTTGGTTTGTTTGTTTTTTTACAAGGAACACTCAGGGTTAGGCCTAGAGAACATTTGGTGCACGAGCGCATGCAAGCGTGTCATGCATGGAGTACAACTAATACTTATATTTATGTATATTTTCATATTTATTGTTATATTTTTTTTTAAAAGCTTGTTGGTGTTTATTTAGAAGGTCCTATATAAATGAAATATGAAAACTGTAAGTTGAATAAAAGTATTTATATTATGAGCTCAAACTCACGTTTTAGTGTTTTTGGTCTATGAAAAAATTCCGAAATTCACAACCAAAGCTTTAGTGTAAATATTGCAAACAAAATTCAGATTCTTCAATTACAATAACTTTCATATACGTACTAGGAACATGCAAAGGTTCATGACATATACCTATATATTCAGAGTTATAGTATTTGTTATTTAATCTTGCAGTTTTATGTATATTGATAACCAAAAACGGGTTTTCAAACATTTCTTCCCCATCGCTTTCGTTTTATTCTCAAGCTATTTCATGCCAAATATTCTCACGAATCGAGAGAAAAAAAAAATTTTTGGTACCCTCACAAAAATACTTTTAAATCACGGCATTTTTATTGGGTCGGTTGCCGACAGCAAACAAACGTAATTTTAATTTAGGCCTAAAGAAACAGTATGTTACGACAGCGGAAGTCACATGACGCTAGTAACACGTCATGATATTCTAGAAGGATCATGTCTGTTCGTGGCAACTCTGGTCTTTTCTACGCGCCCTCTATTCTTGTATATAAGTGCGCCAGATAAAGTGAAATTAATAAATCGGAATAGAATTGCAAACAGACAGAGACGGACAATTGAGTCAAGGGCGGTAGTGGCCGTAAGTAAAGTACGTGAATCGTTGTGAATTATAGCATATGTTTAAGTTAAAGTGACTGTGGAAATTAAGTGTATTGAGAAAGAATAAACTAGTTTTATTTAAGAAAGGACTTGTATCGCTGAAGTTTTTCGTAAAGATTTTTTACGAGTAATTAACAAACGAACACAGAGACGTAACAGTACATATTTTAATCTAATTTCACTATTAGAAACTGCACATATTGTACCCTGTAAAAATAATTACATTTTTCCTTAACACACCTTTAAATATTGTATCAAACATCACTATAAAAACATTACATATCATATCTATTATCTCTACAAATACATTACAAATTGTACTAAAAACTCTTACGAAAGATTGTAGTTCCATAAATTTCCTGTCCCCCAGTGGGTCAGCGGTAAGTTTACAGACTTGCGACGCTAAAATTCAGGGTTCGATTTCCCGCAAATAACCCAATGTGGTTTTTCTCTAACAAACAAACTCTAAATTTCCAGCCATTGCTCTCTATGACTGCTATGTCGTTTAACTCAAGAAATCCTTTAAGTCAACATTTTGAACTATTTCTGTTCAACGTTTTTGAGCTATTTACCAATATTGGCTACCAGTTAATTTATAATCAATGACTTATTAAACTTGAATATACACTGATTTTATTTACCCATTTTTTACGTTTCATAAGATGTATTTAAATACTCTCTATCCATGCAGAAGAAATTTGATTTTCAATCAAGGTCACATGTGTATGACCTTTATATCATATTACTCTTAAATAAGCTAAGCTTCTGGTTCAGCATGTTTTGATAGAGAAATTGAATCATTTTCAAACAAACTTAAGAGCCAAATCTTACAGAATGTTATATATATATATGGAATAAGGGCCTAATAGTTAGGGTGCTCGGGTTGAGGGCTCAAACTCAGCCACCGAATAGGCTGGCCCTTTCAGTCGTAGGGTCGTTATAATGTGATGTTCAATCTCAGTATTCGTTGGTAAAGAGTAGCCCAATAATTGGCGGTGGGTAGTGTTGACTAGCTCCCTTATCTTTAGTCTATCACATCAAAATTAAGGACGGCTAGCTCAGCTAGCCCTTGTGTAGCTTTTTGCGAATATTCTAAACGAAACTGTCACTTGAAACCTAGGGAGCCTTTCTTGTATCCGATATATAAGAATAATAAAACGTGACGTTTTTATCATTTCATTTTAATTGGATGTTTTGTTCTCAGAAGCACCTTCCACATAATAAAAAATTTTAAAGCCAGAGTATGTATGGATGGGCTAATTTTAAGGAGATCGTTGCACATGATTGTTTGAAAGTGTAAAAATCTCTTTAAATAAAACTTCATTTAGGTTACTTTGGGTTTTTCTTTTATTTGTGTATTTTCCTTTTAAGAGTATTCCCCAGATATATGGATAACTTTTAAATCACGAAAAACATTCCTGGTAAAAAAAATCGATTTTCTCTGACGTAAGAATGTTTTAAAAATCAATACTTTACGATGGTTGCCAAGTGAACTATAGCAACCACGCTCTTACTCCTAGATGTCGTTTTCTAAGGAAAACACGTGGCAAATTGAATAGCAAGATGCTGCGTTAGATTGTCGCTATATTTACTCCGTTCTGAAACTATGAACTGTATAATTTACTGTCTTCAAGAGATTGCTATAACTGTATCAGCGCAAAGTAAAAAAGCAGGGGTATATTAGCGAAAGGAATCTTAAAAATCAAAGACAAATATTTGACTGGTTTTAACTTCTAAGATATTTAAAGTGTGGTATTAAAAAGTTTAAACTCTTTGCGGTTTTTATGTGTATTGAATTCTATTTGTTGTGTGTGTTCCCCAGCGTGTCAACAGTCAGGTTACGGACTTAGATAGCTAATATCCGGGGCTCGATTCCACGCTGTGGACAAGAGCACTCATAACTTATTGTGAAATTTTGTGCTAAAAAACCAAACAACAACAAAACTGTTTATTGTGAGTCTGCGCTCTGGTGATTGTATTTTATATTTACCTTCTATTTATTGTGAGTCTGCGCTCTGGTGATTGTTTTTTATGCTTAGCTGTTGTTTATTGTAAGTCTGCGTTCTGGTGATTGTTTTTTATGCTTAGCTGTTGTTTATCGTGAGTCTGCGTTCTGGTGATTGTTTTTTATGCTTAGCTGTTGTTTATTGTGAAGTCTGCGTTCTGGTGATTGTTTTTTATGCTTAGCTGTTGTTTATTGTAAGTCTGCGTTCTGGTGATTGTTTTTCTATGCTTAGCTATTGTTTATTGTGAGTCTGCGTTCTGGTGATTATTTTTTATGCTTAGTTTCTTTGTTAGATGAAGGTTTGTGAAGTGGTAGTTTTTGTTAAAACTTAAGTTTCTCCTAGTTTCGAGCTGTGTGCCTTAGTTATGTTAGAAATTTGATGATATGGTTCTTTTTGTTATTATTATTCTATTTACCCATCAAGTTGATTGTCATCAATATTCTACTAGGATTACCATTCGATAATCCACATAATTCTGAAGATGTTCATAAAAGCTTTGTTCTTCCATTTAAGCTCTCACGTTTAAATCTTTACTGTGAACTGTTAACATAACAATATCTCAATATGCCTTCATGAAATACAAAAGTGTTAACATTAACCATGTGAGGTGTAAGAAACGTAATGTAGACGGTTAAGGAGGGGGGTAAAAAACATAGATGGTTAGTGTTAGTCATGTAAGGGGTAAGAAATATTTGTTATGTAGGTGATTAGTGTTATCCATGTAAAAAGGGTTAAAATTACATTGTAATGTAGTTGGCTAATGTTGACCATCTGTGATACATATGACTACTACCTGTAGTTTGAGTTTGTGTCCATTACACATATAATTAACCTGAAGAATAAAATATAAATGATTGTAGAAAATGGAGTCACCAAACTATCTTGGGCCCTATAAATAAGTTACATTTTAACACACTAAGATATCTTTAAGGATAAACACGCTGTTTACAATCTTACAAATACTAAGATGGTTACTGGATATATTGATACACTAATAGAGTTTCGTAATAAAAGAGCAAAAGGCACACACACACTTCAGAGGTTCCATCAGTTTGATTGGTTGAACGTTTTAAGATCCTGTTGAGAGTGAAGTTACTGGTGTTACATTATTGTAAGGTATAATTTCTATTTTCACTGTTGTTTTCAACAGTTAGGGTAGTTGTGCATATTTTTATTTACACTGTTGTTTTCAACAGTTAGGGTAGTTGTGCATATTTCTATTTACACTGTTGTTTTTAACAGTTAGGGTAGTTGTGCATATTTCTATTTACCCCGATGTTTTCCACAACGCATATTTCTATTTACACTGTTGTTTTCACCAGTTTGGGTGGTTGTGCATATTTCTATTTACACTGTTGTTTTCACCAGTTTGGATGGTTGTGCATATTTCTATTTACACTGTTGTTTTTAACAATTTGGGTGGTTAATATTACATATAATATATTCAGTTAACTGTAGGGTCATATATATTAAGTGGTTAATATTGTATTATTTTATCTTGGTTAAGACTCTTCTGGCACTATTTTTTGGTAATAGTTTGTATGATTGCACTAGGTTGTAAACACGGAGAGACAAATAACTTAGAAGAAAAGCTAACCAAGCTTCAAGAAGAAAACGAGAAGCTCAGTCAGCTCAACAAATCCCTCTACCGGGAAGTAGAAGAACTACAGGATTACAAAAAGAAAATAAATAGCGAAGGCAATAACAAGAAGTCACCTGACGTGCAGCACTTGGAGACAGATCTCAAACACGCTAAAGAAGCTCTAGCAGGTGAGAAGCTCCATTTACAAGGTTAATAATAATTATATAACCCCCAACCGTGGTGGGGAGGTTATAACCCTTATAGTAGGCTTAGATACGCATTCAAAATTCTATAATATCCTTCAGGTAACACCGTCATTTATTCGAAAACAACAACAACATAATAGCTATAGATATATGTTGACGATTTATTCCTTCACAACAATATATAAAGCTCAGACACGAAAATTAATTATTTTTATTTTTCTCCTGACGAGAAATTATCACACTCAAGCTTTTGGATTTCATGTTATTCCAGTTTACATTCAGACATAAATATCTGAATATATGAAAATATTTTGAATTTGTCTTTGAAATTTTTCATACTATTGTACTATTTAACTTCAGAGTGTACGTATATGGTGAGACATCATAACTTCAGAGTATACGTATATGGCGAGACATCATAACTTCAGAGTATACGTATATGTTCAGACATCATAACTTCAGAGTATACGTATATGGTGAGACATCATAACTTCAGAGTATACGTATATGGTGAGACATCATAACTTCAGAGTATACGTATATGGTGAGACATCATAACTTCAGAGTATA